CCCTGTTCCTCCCCCTCAACCTCCGCCCCTCCATCCCTTCACTTCTCAGCCCCCATCCCCACCAGTTCACTCTCCAAACACTCAGGCCAGGCCCTTTGCCCTGGCTGCAGGTTTGGAAAGAGTGCAGCATGCAGCTTTGAAGACTTCCCAGGTGCCAGCCAACCCCAGAGGTAGGCATGCCAGTTTGGAGGGGCCACTCAGACCTGAATCGAAGAATGACCTGGAAGAGAAGCTTCCACGCCAAAGAGAGTATGAACGGGGGCCAGAGGCACTCAGGGGCCCATGCTGCCCCCGCAGCGTGCAGGCACCCTCCCTGCACTCGGGTCCATGCTGACCCTGCTGTGTGTGGGCACCGTCCCGGCACTCGGGGTCCAAGCTGACCCCTGCAGAATGTGGGCATCGTCCTGGCACTCAGGGACCCATGCTCCCCCCTGTGGCACGCGGGCCCCATCCTGGCACTGGGGACACAGGCTGAGCCAGTTGGGGCTGCAAGAACTCGCATGAGAGAAGGAGCAGTGGGAGGGCCAGGGTGAGGGTCCAGCAGTCAGAAGGCCGGCGGAGGCCAGATGTAGGAGAGCCTGCAGAAGAGTGGCGATGGTGAGGGAACAGAAAGAGCAAAGGCTCTGTGGAGGACACAGCTGGGGGAACCCAAAAGCTACAGGGGTCCCCGGGCCCCACATGGCTTCCCAGTCCAGTGCTCCCTCCAGCCCGCCCTGGGCAAGCCTGGGGCAAGGGACAGTCCTTGCATCCTCCCCACCTCCTGCTTCCCAGGGTCTTGAGAATGGAAGAATTTTTCCCAGAGACCTACCGTCTGGACATCAGGGAGGAGAGAGAAGCCTTCTTCACCCTGTTTGATGGTGAGGCCGCTGGAGAAGGCCAGCAGTTCTTGGGGGGTATGATGAAGTGGGGGCGTGGCCAGGGCAGGGCTAGAATCTTTGGAGGAGGTCAGGTGGTCCAGGAGGGTACGAGTGGCGCCAGGTCTGGCAAGGGCCTGGTGGACGAGGTGGAGGTGCGGCCAGAGTAAGTGGTCAGGGCAGTGCCAAGGTCGGACCTGAAGGGAGTGGTAGGGGCTGCGGGTGGCCAAGGGGAGACGCAGGTCTTGGGGGGGCCTTAGGAGGCCATGAGCTAGGAGGGTCAGCCCCGAGAGGTCTGGTCGTGGGGGGGTGGGGCCAGGACAGCCGCGGGCCCAGGAGCGGGAGGGTGCAGTGGTGGATGGATGGGGCCAGGCATGGAAGGTTCCAGTAGTCCAGCAGGGGTGAGGCTAGGGCATGGGCAGGGCCAGGCGTTGGAGGCTCTAGGGCTGGGAGAGGAAGGACGAAGGACCGAGACAAGAGGGGGGCCAGGCAGGGCAGGGTCCAGCAGTGGAGGGGCAGGGCCAGGGCAGGGTGGGGCCAGGCACGGGATGCTGGGAGAGAATGGCCCCGGGCAAAAGTGCGGGGAGGAGGGGCCAGGTATAGAAGGGTCCGAGAGTGGAGGGGCGTGGCCAGGGTGGGGGCCGGGTCAGGCC